GGGGGGGGGCAAACCGTGATGATATCGGCCGTGCCATGTATAACGCAGTGAAACACATTGGGTTGATTTTGAATTTCTGAATGCAACAGAAAAAAAATCCTTAAATCTTAACGTCACCTATTTTTACGTAAAACGGAGTGCAGTCCCCGGTAGTGCGCGTGCCTTAGGTGAACAGTGTTCTCGCCAGCCATGGTTGCACGTGACTTTCACTTTCGACTAGTAACCTTTCGCGGACCACAATAACTGGCACCGCGGCCCGCCAGTTGGACAACCCTTTTGTAGTCGGTTTTCGGCGTCTCCTAAGGGGAAAGAAAGATGCGTTGGTTGGTTGTTTTTGTGTTTACGAGCCCGTGAACTGCTATGGTCATTAGTAACTAATGTTTAGTATATATTATAACCCGGGAGGTGGCGGTGTTCCTCTCTCGCTAGGGCGACAGTGCCGCGCCGACATACACGTCGGCTTGCGGGCTTTCCCTTCTAGATATCTCCGCCAGAGGGACACCGCCCCAGCCGGGACAAGATCTGAGCTCCCGACTGGCCTCCTCACATGTGTGGCAGGATGGTGTGTGTGTGTGTGCGCGCGCGTGTGCGTGTGTGTGTAAGAAAGGGGGGGCAAGGATGACGCGGAATGCAGGAAATATCGCGGGTGATCTGTCGTCAATGAATCATCAATGGCAATACTTGAAACTTCGGTTTTAATTATTGAGAACCCTTTGGAATAATTTGTAATTACTTTGTAATTAGGTTGCAAGCTGATGTGTAATTATATTTTATTAAGATTTAATTATATTCATTACTGCTGAAAATGAAGTTGAATTAAATATTGATTAAAATGTTAAATTGTATTGTTTTGAGTGCTGTGTCTGGATCTTATTTTATTTAACTTTGTTATGTTTCGGAACTTACCATTCTTTCCTTCTTTGGCGCTGAAGATGCTTTATTTGTACAGGTGGACTAAAAGTCCCGCAACGATCTTAGGAAAAATATTTGCGAGCGAAAATCGTATTAAATAGTTTTCAAAAATCTATTCAATTATATCAAACATGATTCCCCACCCCCACCCCTTGTGGGTGGGGTGAAGGGCAACTTCCAAATGTTACATGGAACCCCCGTTTTTATTGCAGATTAGAATTCTCCATGAAAAAGTAAGCGAGTTGTATATGATTTTTTTTTACAAATTTGTGACAGATGACACTATAATCGCAAAAACTACGATTAATCGTACTTATTAAGAAATTATACCAACAAGTAGAAAATAAGAACTAAGTATTTATTATTAAAACAAAGTACATTGAATAGATTAAAAAAATATTAAACATCTATCATTTTGTTGTCTGATTCGATGTGTATTTCTCGAGATATTAGACCGTTCCCGTAATTTTCTTTCGGTATCAGGATAAATCGTATTTTTTTCGATTATGCTGCCATCTGTCAAGAATGGAAAACAAGTTTCAGACAGAACCTACGTATTTTGTTACGTGAAATCCGAATCTGCAATACAAAATGGGGGTTCCATTTAACATTTCGAAGTTGCCCCCGCCCACCCCCTGCAGGTGAGGTTGGGGGCGTCTTGTTTGGTATCATTGAATAGATTTTTGAAAATGATTAAGTACGTATTTTTTTTATTTTTTTCGCTCACGAATAGTTTTCGTAAGATACTTGGCAGTTGCGTGACTTTTCGTCCACCTGTATATACTAATTATATTTGTTTAATATTGAAAACGAATCCATGGACTATGAATGCAGTTTGTTGGCATGTCATTTAAAGTATTATTTCGCAATACCCTAATGATCGAAATAACATATCCACAGCAACAATCGCAAGAAAATAGTTGTATGCGGAGTAAAGATGGCGTATCTGTACTCCAACGAGCGTGCTGTGAATGCGTACAGGAACGGGAAACACACAGAAGTATTATGGAGTCTTTACACGCGATAGCGGACATCACAATCAATCTTCTGCGCAGGCGCAGTTCAAGTTTCGTATCACTTTCGCGCATCTGCGCATGCGCACACGATCGATTGTGCTATCCGCTATGCCGCGCGAAAATTCCTTATTGTACCTCTGGGTCAATGACCCGATCACCATCAGGTTTTTCGTCCAACAACCCTGATCATTTGAGTAAATGCTGAGATGGCCCCGTGTTTTTCTTCTGGACATTCATGTAGCTTCACTATCTGTGCACGTTTTCTGGAGCTCTTTCGACCATGTAAATATTCCAATAATCGTTATCCATTTTCTCGCGGCAGAAAGTCGATTCGTTCACGTAAAGCCTAGTGTAGCTTAAATGGTAGCCGTGTAGTTAATGTAGTAAGGTTTAAATCGTTGTGTAGCCTAAACATGTAGCTGATTTGCATTCGCAAATAATTTTTATTATTTTGTATGAGCTCTGGAAACCATGTACTCACTGCACTTCTCCCCATAGTACGTCACACAGCATTTAACTGTTTTTTGACGGTAAATGAATAAATAAATAAATAAATAAATAATACAAGACGGACGCTGATTGCAGCTACGGCAGCGAGCTGCGAGGAGACCTGCTGGCCGTGCTGGACGCGAACAACGCCTCCCTGGTGGCCGAGGTGCTGGCTGCCAACGCGAGCGCCGCCGTCTTCGTGGCGCTGGAGCGCTTCGCGCCGCCCGTGGACCGCAGCGCGGCGTGGGCGCAGACCTTCTGCTTCGACATTGACAGCACCGATCGCCAGAGGGGGAACATCCTCGTGACGGCGCTGTCCACCCGCCGCCTCAACAAGTGCTGCCCCGAGGGCCACCACCTCAACGCGACCCTCAGCGGCTGCGAGAAGAGCCCCGCCGGGGGCGCAGTCGACAGCGGGGACCGGAGCGGGGATGAGGACGTGAATGGGAGCGGGGACGGGAGCGTTGACGGACGTGGGGCTGTAAGCGTGGACAGAAGCGGGGAAGAAACCGTAGTTGGAAATGTAGA